GATCCCACATGCATGCTGCAGCTAAGAGTCCGTATGCTGCAATGAAGACCCCATGAACCGCAACTAAGACTGGGTGCAGCCAAATAAATAAATAAATATTTTTTTTAAAAAAAGAACAAGAGTTAAAAAATTTTTTTCTCCATCGATATCCCACAGTTACCTTACTTTTTTTCTAATTTTTATTATTTCTTTTATTCTGTTTACTTTGCGTTTCATATGCTCTTCTTTTTATCGTTTCCTAAGGTACATGCTTTTACGTTATTGTTTACACATCTTGGTGTTTTTCCAGTGTATTTGTTTTATGGCATAAATTTCCCTCTAGGCACTTCTTCTGCTGCATCCCACATCCTTTGACACATTATATTTTCATTTCATTTAGTTCAAAATAAATTTTATATTTCTTGAGACTTCTTTGATCTTCTGTATTATTTCTAAGGGTGTTGTTGAATCTCCAGGTATTGAGAGGTTCTCCAACTCTTGCTGTTATTGATATCTAGATTAATTGCCTTTGAGGTCTAAGAGCATAGTTTGTATGATTTTTCTTCTTTCAGATTTGTTAAGGTATGTTACATATCCCCGAATGTGTTCTGTCTTAGTGAATGTTCCATGTAAAGTTGAGAAGAATGTGTATTCTGCCCTTGTTGCATAAAGCATTCCATAGGTTACAGTTAAGTTGAGTTGTTTCATGGTGCTTGTTCAGTTCAACTCTGTCCTTCCTGATTTTCTGCCTGCTGAAATTTATAGCTTGTGATAAGGGGGTGTTCATGTACAATTATAATAATGGATTCATGTATCCTTCCCTGCATTCTTCACGTCTTTCCTTAAGTACTTTGCCCCTTTGTTGCTATGTATGTACACATGAAGGATTGTTATACCTTCTTGGAGAATGGACCTTTTTGTCCCTATGTAAAGCCCCTTTTTATCGCTGAGTTTTCCTTGGGCTGAAATCTCCATTATCTGAAATTCATATACCAATGCCAGCTTTTTTTTTTATTAGTTTTGGCATAGTGCATTTTTCTCCATCCCTTTACCTTTCATCTACCTGTGTCTCCATATTTAAAATGGGTTTTTTGTAGACAACATATAATTACAGTTTTTAATATCTGATATTACTGTATTTGTCTTTCACTTGTATTGAGACCATTGATGATTGAAATGGTGATTAATACAGTTGGATTAATATCTACCATACATTCTCCTGTTTCTATTTGTTGCCTTTGTTCTTTCTTTCATTTGCCTTCCCCCTTTTTTCTATCTTCTCTGGCTTTAACTGAGCATTTTACCTGATTCTTCATTTTAATCCTCTCTTAGCCTATCAGTTACACATTAAAAAAAATTTTTTTTGGTGGTTGCCCTTGAGTTTTCAGTATATATTTAGAATTAGCCTACGTCTTCTGTCAAGTAATACTATACCTCTTCATTGGTTGTACAGGTATCTCATACCACACTATTCTCAATTCCCTCCTGTCTTACCTTACTTATCCACAAGGCTTTCATTACCAGTGTCATTGTTGTTAATATTATTTTACACAAAGTCTTATCTGTTATATATGATAATATTAAAGATGTTTATTTATTCCCCTCCTAATCCACCTTCATCATTTGTATTCTTTCTTATGAATTTTGAACACTTGTTTCAAAGTAGATGTAGTAATGACAAATTCCCTCAATTTTTGTCTCAGAAAGTCCTCAGTTCTTCCTTGTTTTTTAAGGATAATTGTCCTTGATGTAGTATTCTTAGAGTGGTTTTAATTTCAGAACTTTAAGCATTTCAATCCACTCTGTTCTTTTTTTTTTTTTTTTTGCATTACGCGGGCCTCTCACTCTGTGGCCTCTCCCGTGCTCCGGACACGCAGGCTCAGCGGCCATGGCTCACGGGCCCAGCCGCTCCACGGCATGTGGGATCTTCCTGGACCGGGGCACGAACCCATGTCCCCTGCATCAGCAGGCAGACTCTCAACCACTGCGCCACCAGGGAAGCCCCACTCTGTTCTTGCTTGTTTGTTTTCTGAAAAGGTGTCCAGTTTAATTCTAATTTCTCTATACCTGAGGTCTGTTTCCCCCTCTGGCTTCTTAAAATATGTTCTTTTTGCATTTGATTTTTCTCTAGTTAGAGTATGATATACTTTAGTCTTCTTTTTAGGTGTTTTCATGTTTAGTGTTCACTGAGATTCATGGATCTACAGTTGTTGTCTATCATTAATTTTAGAAAAATCTCAGTGATTGTTACTTACATCTTCTGTTTCTTTCTGTCTCTCTTTTCCTTCAGTTATTTTCATTATATGTGTTTTTAATCTTCTGTTAGAAAAAGTTATGCTAGGATTTATGGATAGCATGTTCTATCTGTTTTGTTCCTTTTGTCTTTGCATTACACTCTGGTGAAACATTTTTTTTCAGTACAGCGCTTAAGAACAGAATATTTGTGGCATATTTTAAAACGTCTTTATTTTCTCTTTCCCAGTTCCAGAGACACCAGTTTGTCTTTTGAAGTCATTTGTCTCATGGCTCTAGGAAGACTTTCAAATGTTTTCATTCTCTTCTAGTAAGATTGAAAATCACAACTTTTAGGTTCATAAATTCCAGAACGTAAGTTGGCCAGGCAGCAGCTAGCGTGGCTGCTCAGGAAACATTAGGTCTTGCAATTGCAGAATGGAGACCTTATGCTGTTTTGGAGGAAACCACTGATGAAACCTTTACATATTTTATAATCATGGACAAATTCACCATCAACCCATATGAACTTAAGTGAACTCACTCGCAATCTGTAGCTCTTAACCTTTTCCTCAAGGGAACAGGGTTTGATCAGAAGGAGCTATTCTGGCTATTATCTCCGTATGTATTCTACAGTTTGGCTGGAACAATCCCTGAGGCACATGAGTAGAGGGATTTTGTGGTCTTAGTTGTTATTCCTTTTTCCTCAGGTCTGAGCTCTAAGTTTAGAATAACTTTCTAGCTGCATGAAATTATACATAGAGAGAAGGGAAGAACACAGTCTGTGATCATTATTACACAACTTAAAAGCAGTGCTTCCCCACAAGAAGAGTTACATTCAGTCAGGTGCATCTAATTACTTCTAAAGGGCTGGAGGACTTTGGAACAGTGGGGCCAGCTGGGTTTTGGTAAAAGTTTGATTTCTACAGGCCCCCTGGACTCTCATGTTTGGTGATAGGACTAGGAGGAAAAGCTTCCAGTTCTGCTCAGGAGACTCATTCATTGAAAACTCATGCAGATTTGACCCTCTACCTCATGGAATGGTGGATAATAAATGGTGGATAATAAGGGAGAAGATGAGTATGAGATTAGATCACTCCCTAACACCATACACAAAAATAAGCTCAAAATGGATTAAAGACCTAAATGTAAGGCCAGAAACTATCAAACTCTTAGAGGAAAACATAGGCAGAACACTCTATGACATAAATCACAGCAAGATCCTTTCTGACCCACCTCCTAGAGAAATGGAAATAAAAACAAAAATAAACAAATGGAACCTAATGAAACTTCAAAGCTTTTGTACAGCAAAGGAAACCATAAACAAGAACAAAAGAAAACCCTCAGAATGGGAGAAAATATTTGCAAATGAAGCAACTGACAAAGGATTAATCTCCAAAATTTATAAGCAGCTCATGCAGCTCAATAACAAAAAAACAAACAACCCAATCCAAAAATGGGCAGAAGACCTAAATAGACATTTCTCCAAAGAAGATATACAGACTGCCAACAAACACATGAAAGAATGCGCAACATCATTATTCATTAGAGAAATGCAAATCAAAACTACAATGAGATATCATCTCACACCAGTCAGAATGGCCATCATCAAAAAATCTAGAAACAATAAATGCTGGAGAGGGTGTGGAGAAAAGGGAACCCTCTTGCACTGCTGGTGAGAATGTGAATTGGTACAGCCACTATGGAGAGCAGTATGGAGGTTCCTTAAAAAACTACAAATAGAGCTACCATACGACCCAGCAATCCCAATACTGGGCATATACCCTGAGAAAACCATAATTCAAAAAGAGTCATGTACCAAAATGTTCATTGCAGCTCTATTTACAATAGCCTGGAGATGGAAACAACCTAAGTGTCCATCATCGGATGAATGGATAAAGAAGATGTGGCACATATATACAATGGAATATTACTCAGCCATAAAAAGAAACGAAATTTAGCTATTTGTAATGACGTGGATAGACCTAGAGTCTGTCATACAGAGTGAAGTAAGTCAGAAAGAGAAAGACAAATACCGTATGCTAACACATATATATGGAATTTAAGAAAAAAAAATGTCATGAAGAACCTAGGGGTAAGACAGGAATAAAGACACAGACCTACTAGAGAATGGACTTGAGAATATGGGGAGGGGGAAGGGTAAGCTGTGACAAAGCAAGAGAGAGGCATGGACATATATACACTACCAAACGTAAAATAGATAGCTAGTGGGAAGCAGCCGCATAGCACAGGGAGATCAGCTCTGTGCTTTGTGACTGCCTGGAGGGGTGGGATAAGGAGGGTGGGAGGGAAGGAGACACAAGAGGGAAGAGATATGGGAACATATGTATATATATAACTGATTCACTTTGTTATAAAGCAGAAACTAACACACCATTGTAAAGCAATTATACTCTAATAAAGATGTAAAAAAAAAAATAAGGGGGAAGATGAAAGAATTTTGTCACACGAAATCAATGTCTTTAAAATGATATTTGTTTTACTTGTATAGCATTTCTGTCGTTTCCCAGCAATCTCTGGGCTCTACCATTAATGAGGTATAAGTTATCATGTGATCACAAAAATAATGTGTAAATAATATCCGTGTGTTCATGATGCCATTAAATTTACGAGGAAGCATGGAGAGAATAAGTTTTTCTCATGATCAAGTCATAGAATAACTCTTTGGAAACAACAGGTTCATAAGTAACCTTACTATAAATGGAATATAGATGCCTAGTGCTGTCAGTCTCATGCATCTTACTGTACACATATTTTGGGTGTTTTAGGACTCATTGGCTATTGAGGATGTGATTGTGAACTTCACCCTGGAGGAGTGGGCTTTGCTGGATCCTTCACAAAAGAAACTCTACAGAGATGTGATGCAGGAAATCTTCTGGAATCTGGCCTCAGTAGGTAAGGATGGTGACGTTCTTTCACCTAGTCAGTTAGAGAACAAATGCTTTGTGCTACTTGACATTGTTCTAAGATGTGGAATTGGGGAAGGGAGGATATTGGGATATCAGCTGGGCTTGGTCACCCTAAACAATGGACATAGAATCAAATAATTCTTATTAATTTCTAATATTTTGGAATAATTTTTCTGGGTCTGCATTTTAGGAAAAACATGGGAATATCATGACATTGGAGATCAGTACAAAAACCAGGGGGGAAACCTAAGGTAAGTCACACTCACAATACAAAGCATTGTCTCAAGTGAGAATCCTGGTAAATTATGACATTTTTAAAACAAGCAAACAAAACAAATAGCCCCTTCTTCAAATTTAGTTCTTCTTAGAAAATTTCTACCAAAAACACTTTCTTAAATGTGACATAAATGTTAGGTGTTTGCAAAATAGATCACTTGCAAATATTATTAATAAACCCTATATTTGAATATCACTTTTAATAGTAGGAAGGGTGAAGTCCCATTGCAGTACATTCAGTATATTCAATTTCTAACAATTCACACAAGGTGGAAAACCTATACTATTCCTATAAATCATAATAAATACAAGAAATATAAGATCAATAAAGAAATCATTAGAAATGTACTTTTCATTTTTCCCAGAAGTCCTATGGTAGAGAGACTCTTTGAACGTAAAGACAGTAGTTCCTGTGGAGAACACTTCAGCCTTATTCCATCTCTCAATCTGAAGAAGAAAACTACTGGACTAAAACCATGTGAATGCAGTGCATGTGGAAAAGTCTTCATGTATCGTTCATCCCTTACTAGACACATGAAATGTCACATTGAATGTGAACCGGGAAAGTTTCAAAAATATGGTGACAAGCTATATAAATGTAAGCACTGTGGTAAAGCCTTTAATCATTTCACTTCCTTCCTAATGCACAAAAGAAGTCACACTGGAGAGAAACTGTATGAATGTAAAATATGTTCTAAAGCATTGAGTACTCTCAGTTGTCTTCGAAAACATGAAAGAACTCATACTGGAGAAAAACCCTATAAGTGTAAGGCATGTGGGAAAGCCTTCACATGGCTCATAACCTTTCAAAAACACATGATAACACACAGTGGAGATGGACCTTATAAATGTAAAGAATGTGAGAAGGTATTTGTTAATCCCAGTTCTCTTAAAATACATGAAAGGAGTCACACTGGGGAGAAACCCTATCAATGTAAACAATGTGGCAAAGCCTTCAGTTATTACTGTTCCTTACGAGTACATGGAAGAACTCACACTGGAGAGAAACCCTATGAATGTAAACAGTGTGGAAAAGCCTTTAGTTGTCATGAAAGCATTCAAACACATGAAAGAATTCACACAGGAGAGAAACCGTATCAATGTAAACACTGTGAGAAAGCCTACAGATACCACAGTTCTCTTCGAACCCATGAAAGGAGTCACACTGGAGAGAAACCTTACCAGTGTAAACAGTGTGGAAAAGCCTTTCGATGTAAACAAACCTTTCGAGCACATGAAAGGAGTCACGGAGGAGAGAAACCCTATGAATGTAAGCAGTGTGGTAAAGGCTTCAGTTATTTCAGTTCCTTCCGAATACACAAATGGCATCACACTGGAGAGAAACCGTATGTGTGTAAAACATGTTCTAAAGCATTGAGTAGTGCCACTTCTCTTCGAAATCATGCAAGAACCCACACTGGTGAAAAGCCCTATGAGTGTAAGGAATGTGGGAAAGCCTACACCTGGCACAAAACCTTCCAATATCACATGATAACACATACTAGAGATGGACCTTATAAATGTGAAGAGTGTGAGAAAGTATTCCTTAATCCTAGTTCTCTAAAAATACATGAGAAGAGTCACACTGGGGAGAAACCCTATCAATGTAAACAATGTGGTAAAAGTTTTAGTTCTCAAAAAGGTTTCCAAATGCATGAAAGAACCCATACTGGAGAAAAACCCTATGAGTGTAAAATATGTGGGAAAACCTATACATGGTACAAAACCTTCCAATATCACATGATAACACACACTAGAGATGGACCTTATAAATGTAAAGAATGTGAGAAAGTGTTCATTAATCCCAGTTCTCTTAAAATCCATGAATGGAGTCACACTGGAGAGAAACCCTATCAATGTAAACAATGTGGTTTAAGTTTTAGTTCTCAAAAAGGTTTACAAAATCATGAAAGAAATCACACTGGAGAAAAACCCTATGAATGTAAGGAATATGGGAAAGCATTGTTTGTTACCAGTTCTTCTCAAAGACATGAAAAGACTCACACTAGAGAGAAACGGTATGTGTGTAAAACATGTTCTAAAGCATTTAGTACTCACAGTTCTCTTCAAAATCATGCAAGAACCCACATTGGAGAAAACCCCTATGAATGTAAAATATGTGGGAAAACGTTCAGTTCCACCTATGTTCAAGTGCATGAAAGAACTCACACTGGAGAGAAACCCTATCAATGTCAGGAATGTGGGAAATCCTACATTTCTCTGTCAAGCATTCGACGGCACATGAGACTGCACACTGGAGAGAAACCATATAAATGTGAAGAATGTGGGAAAGCCTTCCTTTATCACAGTAATTTACAAAGGCATGAAAAGGTTCACTAGATAAAACCTCTTGTTTGTAAACAGCTTGGGAAACACTTCAGTTGGCCCACATCCTTAGACGTGAAAACTCCTATGAAGAGGTATAAATTTAACATGAGATAACTTGATGAAAGTAATCCATGCCTAATGTTCCAGAAAACCTTCAGTATGAAAGAGTTGTTTTAAAAGTTTTTAAATATGCTGTGTTTAGCAAGGATCTTTCTTAAAGTGTATCCTTGGACATAGGATCTCTACGAATTTCAAAAATAAATATTAATGTGAGTTCTGTAAGTTGTCTTTCAACAATAGTACATAAGGTTCAAAGGTAGTGATTTTGAGTTTAATCAGATGGTTTTTTTCTCTTTCTGTTTTGAAGTCTGTTGGATCCATGGATGAATTAAAATGTATTTCTAATATGCAGGTAGGCTTAAATTTTTGTAATATTCTGTTCATTCTCTGTTAAAGGGTCATTGAAAATGGCAGTTTGGTATATGTTGGGATTTTTCTACTGGCCTTGGGTCACAGTTCCTGTATACCCCTAATCTATTATATATATTGCACCTTTTTTACTGAGAAAGATCCTTTTTGGGGGGTGGTGGGTATAGGAGCCTTTTTCAGTTTCCCATTCTATTAAAGGCTTGGAATAAATTTTTATGTATGGAAAGGTTGTCAAAGAGTATACTTTTACGTAAATTATGATTTTCCTCTTTGCTTTTCGTCTTTCCTTCTGACTGGTAGTTGGTGAATAGAATTTGAATTAAGAAGAGAGACTTATGGGACTTCCCTGGTGGTCCAGTGGTTAAGACTCTGTGCTCCCAATGAAGAGGGCCCAGGTTCAATCCCTGGTCAGGGAACTAGGTCCCGTGTGCTGCAACTAAGACCCGGCACAGCCAAATGAATAAATAAATACTGAAAATAAGGGGAGGGGGCTTCCCTAGTGGCACAGTGGTTGAGAATCCGCCTGCCAATGCAGGGGACATGGGTTCAATCCCTGGTCCGGGAAGATCCCATATGCTGTGTAGCAACTAAGCCTGTGTGCTACTAAGCCTGCGTGCTAGAGCCCATGAGTCACAACTACTAGGCCCATGTACTGCAACTACTGAAGCCCGCACACCTAGAGCCCATGCTCTGCAACAAGAGAAGCCACCACAATGAGAAGTCCGTGCACCACAACGAAGAGTAGCCCCTGCTTGCTGCAACTAGAGAAAGTCTGTGCGCAGCAACGAAGACCAAACCAAGCCAAAAATAAACAAATAAAACTAAAATTAAATTTAAAAAAAAGAAGAGAGACTTGTGATAGGACAAAAAAATCTATAGAGTTGGAGATACATTGCCTGTGAGTAATGTTAGGAGCTAGATTTACCAGAATTCATCTCCTTTGTGACTCTGTGTTAGAAGTCATCAGTTGCATTACCTGAGTTGGATTGAAAGGCAGATGCAAAGAGGGTATTATTCAGATTTTGGAGCCACCACACTGGGAAAGAGACAGATGAATAGGAGGTTTGAGGACAATGTCTTGCAGCTTATTTCCCAGATTCTGTGTCCCTGTAGTTAAGAGTATCTCCAACACCACCAACAAATATTTGATTTCCATTTTATTAGACGTCTAGTTTTCCCCTGATGTCTTGACTAGTTCCACATCAAAATCCATCAGAGTTTGAATTTTTCTGTAAGGCCTCATGTCCACTTGGAAAGTAATTCATGTTTCATCATTGGGAGTATTGTCTGATTACCACCTTCTGTAGCTTATATCTTTATAATGTCTAATTTGTATAGGAAACACCTTATGCCATTAATAGTGTCAGTGAGTATGTTTTCCTGATTCACCATGACATTCAGAAGGGTGCAGCCAAAGAGGTCAACATGGGGGTTTGTTTCTCTGCTGCACTGGGTAGTGTCTGCCTTGACCCATTGTTTCCATGTGAGAATAAGCTCCTTCCTCGTATCAGGGATACTGTGGTTCTGAAACCTAATGGTGTATCCCAAGTGGGATCTACCTGGAGACATCCTCGTTTGTATAAATCACATCATTTCCTCCCATCACCATCTGTAGACTATTTCCAGCTCTCAAGCCTACTCTGTGCCTGCTTATGTGGAAACATCTTTAGAAATCCACGTATATCCCACTCTGGAAAATTTCCTGAGGCAACACCAGTGACTGTGAGTTGAGAGGGTAATAGAAACAGTTGGCAGAACCTATGTTATGGGCACATTCCATCGGCCACAGTAATCCTGGCTGTCTCATATTTGTAAAATATGTTTGCTTGCTTGTTCACACAGTACTTCAATTTTTACTGAGTTTGAATGGGGAATCATACACTCTGGAATTTGTCTACGTAACAGTTACTCTATTATTGTCTCCCTCCCCACACCCATTTACCATAAAGGCTTTAGCAGCCTCTGTTTATGCATCCAGGTGTCTCTAAACCACCCATGGTGGACACAAGTTATCCAAGGCATTCTTGTACCAGAAACTATTCTCCTCAGCTGTTAACTGCACACAATTAGAACAGCTCTGCTGGCAGCTGACAGAGTTGTTCTGTAAATGGAGGCCCTCCCATGGCCAGAGTTGAGCCTCCACAGCCAATTTCCCATTTTGCCTTGGGTCATGAATGTAGGACCCCTCAGTTTTGCAAACCAGAGTCTTCCTCGTTAAAAAGACATTGGTACTTGCAGCATAAAGCAAAAATTGGCCCCTCTGTCACATCCAACTTGCTGAAGGAACTGTGTTCCCCCCCAGTTAATGTCTTCTGTTCTAGAGTAGGTCACTTCTTTCTGGACACACGGCCACTTGAGGAGTCACTTGGGATCCCAGGAGAGACCAGGGAGTCCACATACTTTATACACAGTGTGCTGCCACCACACCTGATGGGGTCCACTGCAGAGATGCTGTGTTCTGTCCCTAAATCAAACAGGCCATCTGAGATGAGAGATTGGACCCAAGCATTAGATGGATTAGTCAAATTCCAGGCAATCGTGCTAGCAATAGAGAATTCCCCAGCCAAGAACGGAACTCATCTGTACATTGTTACAGATCCTTTGGCCACTGCCAATGATCTAGGTGCCTCAAGCACCAATCACAGCTCCTTATCCAAAGTTACCCCCTTTGGCATTAAGAAGTCTGAGAGTAACGCCTCACAATATCCAAGTCCAAATCAATGACAGTCCTTACTCTGTGCATATATTAAACCTCAGTCTGCAGAGGCTGTGTTCAGAGCGATAAATTGACTTCTGGGCACACTCTCACCTGGGATCTGATGGTATTAACCTTGGTCCTGTGAGCCCCCGCAATCCGTAACCACTTAGAGGCCTCTAACCTCAATGTTAGGCAATATTCATGGGACATCCCTTCTCTGCCATGGCTGCCTTAGTGACTGACCAAGGCATCTGATGTGAACAAACACACCATTGGTAATAAACTCAATAGACATAGTTTCCTGACCAAGGAAGGGGTCCCTACAGCTGATGGCAAACAGACTTTGTAGGGCCCTTCACCCCCTCTACTGGCTACTTGCTATGCTCTAAACTTGGTAGATACTTATATACAAAAATTACTTATCCTATCACACATAACCCTTCTGAAACCAAAATGCAATCACTCACCGACACACAGTAGAAATTATTGATATCCACTCAATTCTGAAAAACCAGGCTGTTGAAAAAGGCATTCACTGGCAGTCTCAGGACCCCAGTCTACAACCCTCATAGGATGTTCTAATGGCTTACTTAAAGCTTGCTTTCTTCTATACATAGGTCTTCCTGCTGTTCAGGGCATTATTCAGATTTAATCCACAGTCTTTGAGGCCAGTTACTTTGTTCTGGTCATCAGGCTTACTGTTATCTTACGAGTAGAGCCTTTCTATACTGGACATTCTGTCAGTGACATTTCTGGTCACTCCTACAGGTCTTTGGTTTATTGTCATAGTAGATCCTGGCCACCACATGTATATCCCAGTCCCAGTTCTTCCTCCTAACATCATCCATAGACTGGGTAACCTACATGTCAGTATTTCATTTGGGGCACCCTCCTTCAAACCCCTCTGGCCCATCCAACACAAACGTGCTCTTTTCCTACAGTTTACAATCACAGACTCATCGTCGTTGGAGCCCCTGGCACTGACCTGGGCACACATAACGTCATTCAACAAACATATCATTAATGCCAATCAAGAAATGTCAAAAACTTTCAAAATACATGTAGTAGTCAGCTAATGCCTCAGGTGTTTTCCATGAAGAACAACTCTCTAGTGGACATGGTAGCTGATGACCACCTGGCTTTGCACTATTTATGAGCCAGGGAGGGAGAGTTCTGTTCCCCTAGGAGGGCTGCTTGCTGCATGTGGGTGGAATAAACTGGCAAAGTGCCACCAGTAACACAAATGAGACAGCAAATTAAAATAAACAACAACAATGTTATTGAAATATTTGAACAGAATTCCAGAACCATACTGACACACTTTCCTGGATCCCTCAAAATACCCGGGGATGACAGGATTCCAATGTTGTTTCGAAGCTTCATCATCTTAATTATGTTGCTTGTGTCACATGGCTTTTCAATTAATATTCAAATTCATTTCAATGAGATGTGGCAGCATTCAGTCTGTAAACTTAAGGAGTGAAAGAACTGACCTCATTTTTGATATCTGACTCTTAAGGGCTTCGGGTATCTGCTCACCTGTCTGGCCTACAGTGCATAACTAAGTTAGGAAGGGTGACACCTGCTCCTTTTCTTTTTGTGTCAGCAGGTGGGAGGGTCAAAACTTGAAAACCTGCAGCCTCCACTTATACACACATTAAATAGCCAAGCCATTCTTTACACAAGGCACCTGAAGTAGCTTACCCTTGCCCGACTCTCCTTAGAAAGTACCTTTGAGTAATAAGCATCTTTCTATTTTTTTAAATAAATTTATTTATTTTTGGCTGCATTGGGTCTTCATTGCGGCGCACAGGCTTTCTCTAGTTGCAGCAAACGGGGCTAGTCTTTGAGCTGAGCGGGCTGCTCCTTGCAGTGGCTTCTCTTGTTGCGGAGCACGGGCTCTAGGTGTGCGGACTTCAGTAGTTGTGGCATGCAGGCTCAGTAGTTGTGGCTCACAGGCTCTAGAGCGCAGTCTCAGTTGTTGTAGCACATGGGCTTAGTTGCTCCATGACATGTGGGATCTTCCTGGACCAGGGCTTGAACCCATGTCCCCTGCATTGGCAGGCGGATTCTTAACCACTGCACCACCAGGGAAGTCCAACATCTTTCTTTTGATGCACTTGAGAACATCAGTGTTGACATCTGATCC